CGTTTTTCGTGTATAAGTCTGATCAACTTATGCGTGGAAAATGTGGGGGTGTTACACATTACTTTTAATTGAATCATAGCTTAATTCAACTAGCAAACCACTCATTTTGATCATTCGACCTGCTAATCCAACTTTGATTCCGTAGTACCTTACAAATCCATTGGGACGATCCATTTTCACTCATACTACATAGTATAGTGTTAAGTGGTTTTTATAAATTTTAAATGTGGTGGCCACTTCACATACTCACAATTCTTACATCATTTTGAGCACAAGGTCACAGACCACACCATTTTGGCTTCTATTTTTTGGATTTTGGGTTTCTAGGGTGAATTTGGATGAGTGTGGGGGTTTTAAATGATTAATATTAACATGTTAAAATCCCAGAATGCATAATTTACGTTAATATGCCATGGACTTGAACAATATGAAATTTTAAATAAATTTACATGTTGTTAACGAATGACTTAATTTCTTAATATTAATTTTAACAATTTAAATGGATGTTATATGATTCTAATCATGTATTTGCAATATAATACAATCATGAACTGTATCTGATTTTGATTATGCTTATTTTTTAAATTAATTGATGTATTGTTTTATTTTTTTCATCAATTATTGGATTGTATGGATGTAATGCACTAGTATGAGATGGTAGCATTCTAGGGATGGATTAACTAAAAAGGTTAAGTCCTACCTTTTCGGTTTTATAAAGGAACGGATTTACTAGAAAGTTAAATCCAACTTATTTTCATATCAGACCACTAAATAAATTGGATGACATGATGGATATTTATTTAAAGCTTTAGATAGGATGGATTTTATATCTATATGAATATGTGCCATGATATGAGTTTGAGTCTCAGAATCATGGTTAAGGTGCATATATTGCATGGGATGACTAGCTAAATATAGTGGACTGTAGTGTGCCCTGGTAGGTCTAGGTACTCATGCCCACTACATGTGCGTTTTGCATGTTGTATACTATTCAGGTTGAGGCCACCCTATAGTTTAGTGAAAACCCTTTTAGTTTGTACCTATATATATATACGGACTATGTAGTTATTGTTGGATTGACTATGATGTATAGGTATATCGAGTCTCTGTTTGGACTATAATAGAGTATAACTTGTTCGTGGGCCTGACCCACTATTATTTTTCAAGCGTTCGACAGTTCCAGTCTTAGAACTTGTTCGTCCCGAGCAGAGACAATCATTTACTCTTCTGACTATACGTAGGATTCTTCTTCATGTTTTACCTTTGGATTTTATTTCAGTTTAGTTATTTCAGTTAGGATATTATTAGGGGTTCACTTGATGAATTCCTGATTTGTAATGGTATCAGAAGTTTTGGATAATTTATTCTTGGAAGATTAATTATTTATTGAATGATTTATTATTTAGTTTTTTTTCCGCTTATTTATTTATTCTTATTTCTTTTTGTACTTAATGTTTGTTAAATACTTTAATTGTTTGATATTTCTCTCGGGTTTGGACTTGAGCTGATCAACCTATGTCTCGAAGTCTAGGGATATCACACTTGTCAAAAGTTGTGGATGGGGTTCTATATTTGGGCACCAGAAACAAAAAGTTTTATTCTTGCTATTTAATCATAGTACAATACTGTGTCATTTTGACTTCGTATATTTTAATTTTATAAAAATAAGTAAAACAATAACATCTAGCTATTCAACTCAAATCAAACAATGTTGCATTAGTCTTTTGCATTACCCAGCCACTTACCATACTTTTTTCCCCACTTTTTACTTTTCTCTCATTTAAGAGGAACAAGAGAGAGTGAGTGAGTGATTTTTCGAAAGACAATACTTACCAACTCATCGATGAGTATGTACTCCATACTTACCACTGATGTAATCCATTCTTATAATGACACATCACATTTAGTTATTAATTAAAAAAATTGAAAAGCAAAAGAAATGAAAGTCAGGTCAATTCGAGTTCATTTTCTTATTTATAACTTTCTTAATTTTGTAAATAAATTATATATGTGCATTTGTAATTGGATCAAATCAATTATCGGTAGAAAGTATTTACTTAGCGATTAGTTTGTGAGTATTGTCTTAATGCATGGATCAGTTTTATAAATTAGGAGGTAAGAGCTTAAGCTAAATTTAGATAATATTATGAGGACCAAAATTACATTAATGATAATGATTAAAATATGCACTACTTTTTCTTTCTTTTTTTTCATGACGAGAGTGTTTTAGATTAAAAGTTAGTGGGTGTGAAGGTTCGAAGTCAGGCTCATTATGACAATCAAAAAAAATCTAGTGGTGGTAAATTTAAGTCCAAACCCATTAAACCACTCAAACTCGCTCACTAAAATTAAATTATTTGGACACCCAAATTTAAGTGAGTGGATCAATAATGAATAAAAAATGAGTACCCATTCAATTTAAGGGTCAATGATGGGTTAAAAATGGACACCCATCCCCTTTATTATCTCTCCTCAGTATTCTCTCTCCTTCCCTTCATTATATATATATATATATATATATATATATATTTTTATCTCCCTCCTCCGTTCGTATTCTCTTTTTTCTTTCTTTTTTTCACCCTTTTCTCTCTCTTGTTTCCCTTCTCTTTTACATTTTTTTTTTTTTTTTGTCTCTCCCATTCCTCCTCCTTCTTCTTCTTCTTCTTTTTTTTTTTCCCTCAACATTATCTCACGTCCCCCCTTTGTTTCTCTCTCTTCTCTCATCTCTTTCCCTTTTTTCTCTCTTCCCTCTCCCGCTTTTTTTTTTTTTTTTTTTTTTTTTCGCGCTTTCGCGTGATAACTCCATCTTTTGTTGTATAGTGATTTTTCTCCAAAATAAAATAAAAAATAAAAAAAAATTGTAACGCTTTAAATCAAAAAATTAATTTCAATATTCACATGAGTCTATATAAAAGTCAAAGGGTAAAAATGTCAATTCATTACCATTAGGGTGTCTTTGGTTACTGTATCAAACTTGAGGGGGTGTTTTTATCCCAAAATAGGTTAAGTTTCATCGGTCTATCCTTACCCCCAAATTTTAGAGAGTATCTATGTACTTTACCCTTTATTTTTATATTTAGCAGTCAAAATAACTTAAACAATTTATGTCTAAAAATATTTAAGTCCATGGGTTAAGTGTGAATCCACTTATTCATTTAACATTCAATCTATCCATGACTCCCTATAAATAAGCTAATAATAAATTAGTGACCCATTACTAATTTGTCCATTCATAACAGCCACCGATCCAATTACCGTCCCTAGAAAAACCATCACTGTATTAAATTAGACGTTACACACAATGAGTGCCGTGCGTGACCACCAGTATTCAATAAGACAATCAACTAATAAAATTGACTATTAGTGATTTCTAAGATCCAGCATATCTAAAACGATGGGTGCTCACGTTTTCTTCGTATAATATTTAAATAAAAGAAAATTATTAGTGAAAATCATGTACCTATTGTTGTAATAGATTTATTTATATTAATTACGGAGTATAATGCAGGTAAAAGGGTAATGTTATGAATTGCAAGATATTGTAGTAGGCAAAAGGATTTGCCCAATGATGCCACAAAATATTTTTTTTATGTGAGTATTTTTTTATTGAAATAATTATTGCACTCATTTCTTACCTTAGTTTTTTGTTTTTAAAATTTAAAATTTAAATATTTTTTATAACTACACTTATTTTTTGTTTTTAAAATTTAAAATTTAAATATTTTTTATAACTACACTTATTTTTTGTTTTTAAAATTTAAAATTTAAATCACATAAATATTCTTTATACTTCATTCTCAATAACTGAATCGAGATAATAATTTTATTTCACATTCAAAGTGGAGTAAATTATAAAAATAAAATAAAAAATATATTTATCACCTACCATTTTCTAATGTAGTTTTGAAAATTTGCATTCGCCATATGGCTAAACGTTTTCTAAAATTATTTAAAAAATTGAGTAGATATGAAAAATTATTTTACCTCAAAATTTTACAGTTTTAGCCATTCAAACACCTAAAGATTTTCATTTTAAAAATGCTACAGTATTTCTTTTTCTTTATCTATCTAATCAATTAAAGCATAAGAAGCACATGTTCTTAATGTGTTGCGTGGGTGTTCCGACGCTGACACTCTATGAACAATATATTTCAGACACTTAACTAACACATCTTACACTTTTTATCTTATATAAAAAAAATACCAGACAAGTCTAAAAACAATACAATATTATGAATATTTATCAAAATATTCAACATAAAAAGAACAAAAACATAATTGCGATGACACAATAAGATTGTAATATCTTTTATATATATATATATATATATATATATATATATATATATATAAGTTAGAAGATATATATATTCTATTATTATCATCTTCTAACTTATATAATTTTAGTATTCAATTTATAAATTACTTAGAGTTCTATAATTGTTTTATTCAATAATTATATAAATAAGATTTTATATCTATATTAAATGTCTCGTATCGATATCTGTGCTTATTGAGTTATAGTATTTTTAAAATTTGATGTTATAAAGTTATTTCTTAAAGGTTTTTGTTTTTTTTAGGAAACCATTCTTTATATATATATATATATATATTCTATTATTATCATCTTCTAACTTATATAATTTTAGTATTCAATTTATAAATTACTTAGAGTTCTATAATTGTTTTATTCAATAATTATATAAATAAGATTTTATATCTATATTAAATGTCTCGTATCGATATCTGTGCTTATTGAGTTATAGCATTTTTAAAATTTGATGTTATAAAGTTATTTCTTAAAGGTTTTTGTTTTTTTTAGGAAACCATTCTTTACTTTTCAATTTTAAGAAATTTCCAAAACACTTCCTATATTTGTTCATCAAATCATTGGAATTATCCGCCACAAAGTGACGGCGAAAGGAAGCTGTGTCCACCTTCGCTGCATTCGAAGATATATATCACATGTGATAAAACATTTTTACTTTAAAATTCAGAAAAAACCAAAATAATACGCAATTGACACCCACCATCTTCCTCTTTCCTTCTCACTCTTCCACTCATTCACGCCTTCACGTGCTTCCTCCTTCCCCCGCTCCACTGCATATAAACCCCACTCACTTTCCTCAATTCGAAGAAATTCATTTCCTCCCAAAACAGTATCCAAACACCACAATTCCTCTCCCCTCCCTCAGTACATGGCTTTAGTCCGAGAGCGCCGCCAGCTAAATCTCCGACTCCCACTACCGGAAATCTCCGAACGCCGCCCCCGTTTCCCCCTACCCCTCCCTCCCACTTCCCTCTCCACCACCGCCACCACTACGGCCGCAACCGGTTGCGGCGGCGCTGTAACCGCCGCCGACCTGGAAAAGGTCCAAGTCCTCGGCCACGGCAACGGCGGCACAGTCTACAAAGTCCTCCACAAGCGGAGCTCCGCCGTCTACGCGCTGAAAGTGGTCCACGGCGACAGTGACCCCACCGTCCGCCGCCAGATCATCCGGGAGATGGAGATCCTCCGGAGAACGGACTCCCCGTTCATCGTCCACTGCGACGGCATGTTCGAGAAGGCCAACGGCGACATCGCAATAGTAATGGAATACATGGACTGTGGCACTCTCGATACCCTCCTCAAAACCACCGGAACTTTCTCCGAACCCAAACTCGCCGTAATCGCGCGTCAGGTCCTGAGTGGACTCAGTTACCTCCACAGCCACAAAATCATTCACAGAGACATCAAACCCTCCAACCTACTAGTGAACAGCAAGATGGAAGTCAAGATCGCTGATTTTGGAGTGAGTAAGATCATGCGTCGCACGCTCGATCCCTGCAATTCGTACGTTGGCACGTGCGCTTACATGAGCCCAGAACGTTTCGACCCGGACACCTACGGGGCGAACTATAACGGGTACGCCGCGGATATATGGAGTTTGGGGCTGACACTGTTGGAGCTTTACATGGGTCATTTTCCGTACTTGCCTGCGGGTCAGAGACCCGACTGGGCCACGCTAATGTGCGCCATATGCTTCGGGGAGCCGCCGAGCTTGCCGGAGGGTTCATCGGAAGAGTTTCGGAGTTTTATCGAGTGTTGCCTCCAGAAGGACTCGAGTAAGAGGCGGACTGCTTCGGAGCTATTGACTCATCCTTTTGTCACTAGTGGTTTGTAACGACGACCCGACCCGACCCACCCGACGATGATCCGATGACGTTTCGTCGATCATTTTTGTATGATGGAATAGAGGACGGATCTGAATTTTTTGCTTCTTTTGTTTTAGTGACTTTTTGCCTACATGTATATTCTTTCCTCTATGTTGTAGATGCTGCTATTTTCAACAGTAAAGTTGCTGTGGAAAATGAGATAATTAGATTTCTTTCTATTTCCTATCAATCAGTTGGTTTTTTTTGTTGTTGTTGTTGCTGCTGTTGAAATGCTTGTCTAAGAATTTGACTTGTTCTTTTAAGATGTTCTAACAGTCTATCTTGACTCTCACATTGACTGACTTTGCCGGTTTTCTCTTCAATTTTATTTTATTTTATTTTTTTTGAACTTTGAAAAGTAACCAAAAATTTTGCAAATACATGGAAGAAGTGAGAAAGTTTCAGCATTTTTATTATTCCGTCCAAAAAATAATAATATTAAGTATTTATTTTTTTGCTTTTATACATACCAAAATAAATGTGATTTGAAAAGTCATTGCAGTATTACTAATTTAAGTTCTTGTATTGGACTTATATAAACTTATATAAATTAAATTATCACGTCATTATAATTATAAAAAACACTACAGTGATTTCTAATAAGGTTTGTAATTTTGTAAATGATTTTATGAAAACAGTTAAAAAATCATAGAACAATTTTTTATTATCGAAAAAGTAAAAACAAAAAATTGTAAAAAAATCTCTGTTTGATTTAGTTTTCTAAAAACTATTTTGTGAAAACTCAGTTGTAAAAAGGTCTGTTTTTAGATAACAGTCTTTTTAATTTTCTGAAAACTGTTATCTCTTTTATAAGTTTTTGAAAACTGTTTTCAGAGTTATAAACCAAACATACTTGTTTGTTCAGTTTCTTGAAAACTCAGTTATAAAAAGTTTTGTATTCAGATAACTGTGGGCATACTTACAACAATTTTTGTACCAAAAAAAAAAACTTTACTTGATTCACTTTTCTAAAAATTCAATTGTAAAAAGGCTTATTTTCAGAAATTTTATAGTTCTCTGAAAATAATTTTTTGAAAATAATTTTTAGTTTTATGTTCTCTAAATTCTTGACAACTGTTTCAGAGTTACAAATCAAACAAGTCCTTAACTTTCAAAAAAAGACACTTGTATATTTTGAGACTGAGTAAGTATTAAGTCACATCTCAACATAAACATAACTAAAATCCCAAAAGAATATACTACAAATTTTAAAATTCTAAAATGAGTAGCAATAAAATTTAAAGTATGGAAATCACACAAGCCATCTTACTCATCCTTCATTTCAGCTCAAAATATTAACTGATGAAATAAACTCAGACAAACTTATTAAATAATAATATGTATTTTTATTAAAGATTGTAATATAGTGATATTTGATTTACCTTTTAAATAATATGGTAAGAGTTGGAGTCTCAATGTGGACAGTAGTTTTTTGCAACCAAAAAAAAAAACAAAAACAAAAAAAAACAAAAAAAAAAAAATCAAAAATATATTCTCTTAATCAGAAGCTCAATATTTTATTACACATAGAACTATATTTATTTATTTATCTAATTCATTCTCTTTCTTGAAGTCTTGCATAACATTATTATTTTCTTAATGATTGGTCATAAAGTCTTGTACACAAAGGATGTACATGTAATGTCAAGCATATAAATGACTAAGGATACATATGCATGGGAAAAAAGCGAAACATGTGAATTGCGAAAATGTACACTCGCGCAAGTAGCATAAAATGACACAAGCGTGAATGATACGTGTCTTCTCAATTCCTGCAGAGGCTTTGGATTTCTTAAGACGACCCAAATTTAATTTGAATTATACTCGAGCCATATTTAGATGGACCTCAAAGTTCAAAGATCAAGATTAATGTTTAAGTCTTGATTGAGTTCTGAATTATAACTTAAAGTTTTTCAAACTCTTCTTGAAGTAACCAAGCTTTTTTATTTTTTTATTATTCGGTACTAACATACACATGTTTTTACTGTGGCTCAAATTAGTGACCTCCTTTTATGAAGTAGGGATCTAATACCTCTAGGCCACTATGGCGACTTTGTGGGCGGGTGTGAGGCAATGATAGGCTACTACATTAGGCGAGTTACGGGTGCATAATTTCACATTGCCTAGGTAAGGGAAAAGTGAAGTGCTTATATGTAGTGTGTCACTCCAATTGGTATGATCTATCTTGGGGTAAAATCCAATAGTAAAACCGTGTGGGTTCGGGCTCAAAGTGGACAATATCAGGCTGGCCAACGAGAACGTTGGGTCCCGAAGAAGGGGTGATTGTGACAATCTTGTGGACGGGTAGGCTGTGGGGTAAGGGAAAGATTATGTTGACGTAGTGGACTCCCGACCCTCAAATAAACTGAAATAATATCTTTTAAAAGTCCATAGACGATTCCTTGACTTAGGGCATGGATTTAATTAATCATATTTATAAGTCAGTAGTTCATTTTGAAAGCTTAATTAATTATATTTACAAGCCGGTAGTTGATTTAATTTGAGAAAAGTTCAAGCACGTTACAGCTTAAAATAATTCAATTTTCATATTCTAAATAATTCAATCGACTTATATTTTGTTTGATTAATTTTTTAAAATTCAACCAGGCCAACAAATAAAGGTGGGAGGTAATAAATATTTTCTAACTAGGTTATCTAACACTTTTTAAATAATTTACTTCTACAAAGAAAATAGTACATACTTTTCAAAATATCCAACAAAATATCCAAATTAGTTGAATATTTTGAAAAGTCAAATAAAATAAATATATATTTTTTCACAATCACCCTTTTAATTTTTTAAATATCTTCTAACTTGCCATTATAAAGTTTAAGGGTCGTGATAGATGGACCGATGATTTTGGCCGATTGATTTGGCAGAATAGACGTGGCAGTCCAGGTAAGCAACTAGGCTGGAAAACAACTAAAAAAAGGAAAAGAAAAGGAGAGAGAATATACATTGTTGCCAAGCTTCAGAACGGTGGTGAAGCAAGACTAGCAGCAATGAAACTTTCCCGAGGCAAAAGGATGACGCCTTACCCGCTTCAATGTAGATGACGGGAGTCGTGTCTACTGAACTCAACCGGCAGTGAGATGGGTTTGTTTGGCGGTGGATGAACTTACCGGTTATGAATTTACAATGAACAATTGTTACGAATCTTTAATAGAGAACGGTAGTGAAGCAAAGACTACCAACGATGAAACTTTCCGACGAACAAACTACGCGAGCAAGGAGTACTTTATCGGCTAGAATGGGTCATGTTCTTACTGAGGTCGGTGACCGTAGTGAACGGCAAAAACTCAACCGGTAATGCTCAGATGTCGTGGATCAGACGATGTGGCTTCCATCCTCGGCATTGTGGGAGGCGTGAGCTCGGAACAACGGGTGGACGGTCTTCATTCGTCGCCGCAACAGGTCTTCGTGGGCAATTTCAATGATGAAGGTTGAGCTGCAGAATCCAACAAGCTCATGCTGGACAGCGACACCCAATCTGAGGTGAACTCTCCATTGGCGACACCCAATCAGAATTCGTTTTTTAAAGTGACGACACAACTCACAATAGCCACAATTACAATCTGAAATTTCTGTCCTTGCTTCTCGTTGGCGTCAATCTCACGTGCTCCGACCACCACGAAATTAATAAACAAGGTCCATTGAAAGTGGAGGGCTAAAATGGGTCAATTAGATCTTTAGATTCGAGGCAAAAGGGTAGTCAACCTAGCATCTCCCGTGGAAAATGGAACCGTGGGTCGGCAGTAAGCCTTTTCCGACAGACCTCGGCATGTTTCATGGTGCGAAGTCTTTAGTTGAAATCTTTCTATTGCCCATACATATTCCGTCGTTTGGCTTGTCAGAAATTCCTTAGGGAAAAGGGGAAGAGACAAATGGGTTTCGAGCATTTGTATTGTGTTGATCCAATTGGCATGACTGGAGGAAATTCTCTTTTTTGTCGAGATAGAGCAAATATACTTGTTGACAAAGTGGAACATTTTTGCATAATTGATACACAGCACGGATCCTACTAGCAATCCTTGGCTAACTATAGAAAAAAAAATCTAATAATAAAAAAGAAATGTCTCAGTATAGATTTCGATCTCTTCGTAAAGAGAGAAGATTGCACTTTGATTTGAGCACATGACTACCGATTTGTTGATATAACGGTTGATGCGGTATTGGTAACCGATGGAAGTTTCGTTGCCGACACCACCATCGATCTTTGACACCCCATATGTGGCCTTCCAGCCACCATTGTTCGCACCAACATTACCCAAAGACAGCCACTGTTGCTTGCACCTACAGTAAGGCGATAAAGCTAGAGAGAGAAAGAGATGGGGGAAGAAGACCCAAAAGATGGTGTTGGAACCGTTGTTTGCCCTGAGAGGTTAGAGAGAGAGAGAAGGGAGAGTAGTTCCAGCTAGATGCCACCTGATTCTGCCTAGGAAATCGGCCAAATCAATCGGCATAAATATCATTTTCCAAAGTTTAAAAGACAATTTAGTAATTCAAAAATGGGCAATGCATTTATCACATGTCTCCTTATAAAGTTATAAATTCAAATATGAATAACTAATATGAGATTGAAGGAATAAATTGAGTAATAGATAATAACATGTTGACAATGTGGTATTGGAAGATATTGAATTGTGGCTTAATGTCACAAGGGAGACTTGTCCCACATCGGATCTTGATGGGAAAATGGATGGGTGGGTTGGGTGTCAGCTTCACCTAATAATTCAAAATCTTGGGTCGGATAACAAAACACCCGACTTGTTGCACTTAGAGCCCATTTGTGATTATTTATCTATTACTTAAAAGCACTTTTAATTTAAAAAATTGCTTTTAGAAGTGTTTGGTAACTATTAAAAGCGCTTTTAATAGTTACCAAATTTAGTTCAGTATAACTTTTGAATGAAGTTAAAATTTAGAGTTTTCGCTTTTAATAGTTACCAAATTTAGTTCAGTATAACTTTTGAATGAAGTTAAAATTTAAAGTTTTCAAAAATTAGATGTTGAATATTTTAAGTAACTATTTTTTATTAGACAATTTTGTTCTCATTATTTTTAAAAAGAGAATTACACTCCTTTCTTAATAAAATTTTATTATCAAATATGGTAACATCATATTAAAAGATATTATTGTAAAATTTATAGTAGAAGTATTTAAAATAATATTGTTATCAAATAATTTT